ATAACAACAGCCAATGTTCACAACCGACCTAGTTAATCTATATAATAGGAATATCTTTAAAACATCTCATTTATATCTTTCAAGATGAAAAATGTCGTCTTATGAGCAATCTATCTTTATCTATGGTTGTAGACCTTAGATATTTCAAACTATGAATTCTGTTAGATCAAATATTCTGAATTTGAAATATCAAAGGTTTACAACATCAGATTCCAAAGGTTTACATATTTGAGTTTGTGCCAAAGACTCAATTCCTTTATAAATTGACTGTAAGAAAAAATAGAAAAATAGAAAATAGAATACCTTAATTACATCTTCCATCATGTTATAAGCATCTAATATGTCGAAGTCTTGTTTTTGCAAAAGTTTTAGTTTAAAGTATCTTAAAATTTTGTGTTAACAGTGAATATAGACAAATCCTTAGTCTTTGTCATTGTCAGGTGTTACTTTTTAAATTTGTTTCCTTTTAATTTTGTATTTTCCAGGGGGGGGCAGGGCCCCCCCCCCTGGAACTCCCAGGGGGGGGGCAAGAGGACTACTGCCCCCCCCCTATGTACGCCACTGTGTGAAAAGCACAGTGGCGGAAATAGGGGGGTTATTGGAATTAATTACCCCCCCCCCCCATAGAATCCTGGGGTGGGTAACACAATAAATATTGTAAACAATAAAACCTGAAGATATTCTTAAAAAGTTTTTGAGCGCAAAGCTGCGACGGCTTTTCCATGGAGGAAAGAGTTGTTACTTTGTTTTTGTTTTTAAAAAAGGTTGATATAAAAAAATAGAATATCTTTAAAATTTGCACGAAAATAATTTGAATGTGCAGATTCTTCAGATATTTCAGATTTTAAGTCAATATATTCTAAATGATTCTAAATTCTAGTAATAGTCAGTCATTACAATTAGATGTTTTTTTTAATAGAAAAAAAAGGGTATTGACAATGAAGAATACATTTTTACTTTTAAATAATGTCATTTTCATATTAGATTTATTTAAGATCTTAACATACTACATTGACGACAAGAAAATTTTAGAAATTAGAGTATAAACAAAGACAATATTTTTTCAAAGTTTTGCAGAGTAGCTTTTCTTAAGATTTAAAAAATAAACATCTTTTTCCTCTTAGAGTAAAACTATTTTTTATGTTACTTAAAATATATTTAGTTTTTTACAAATCTTTGTAGTTAATGTAAAATTAATGACTAAGGAAGGATATAAGACAAGGTGAAAGCTGAAAGGAAGGAAATGAAGCCTTTACTTGATGGAGTTTGTAAATGCCAGAAATGAGTGGAAAAACCAATAGTTTGATTTATATCATGATATTTTTCTAGGGGGGGGGGATGTAAAAAAATTCTAGGGGAGGTAAAAAAAAATCCCCCCCCCCCTACAGAATCCTTATTTACGCCCCTGGTAAAGCAGTTTATAAACTGAACACACAATTCATTGATCTTTAATTAACTCTTCTAAAAGGTATGATCTTTCGCGTATTGTGGCAGGATTTTTAAAAATTGCAATCGTCTCAACTGGCTGGATAATGGATATATTCTATATATACAACGTGCCGGATGTTTTAGTTTATAAACTGTAAGTATAGTTTAAGTGTTTTAGTGTAAGTTTTTAAGTTTTAGTGTAAGTATAATGTGTTTCTTATAAAAGTTTCTAGATTTATTTTATTAAAAAGATTCAAACTAGTTGTTAACAAGCTGGCTAGTGTCTATAAGCTACGAACTGCAGTACAAGGAAGCTATGTTGTGGGTACGAGCTGGAGCTGGATTTAAGGCGTTTATTTGAGAAACTAAATATTATTTGGGCAGACATGAGTCTCACTATGGTGCATTTATAAATGTAATAACTATCGGAAGACACAAATCCTGTGGCATGGAATACTGCACGGTTGTGGCTCATGGCTGCCGCAAGGAGTATGGAATAGATCAGGGAGATACAACTGAACGGACCGCCCTACCATATGATTATGCATGCTTTCCAGACGGTGCTCCATAAGAAATATCCAGAATAGGTTATTGTATACACGGTAATTGTACACCAGACAAATATTTCTTATTCAAATGAAGTACCGTATGCAAAGCATGTAATCATAGGGCGGGCTGCGTCAGTTTTATCTCCCTTCTATTCCATACTCATTGGGCTGCCGGTGTTGTGCATGGAGCGGACTCTCCCTAAAGTTTAAACCATGTCAACACAATGTTAGACATAAAAGCAATTTTAAACCATAAAAAATTATAAATTGACATAAATTAAACACGCATAGTTCTTAAATATATTTTGAAAGGGGGTAAAGACAAAAAAAGTTATTTCCTCCTGAATGTAATTTTTTCCTTTCAAATCCATCAACGATGAATATTTACTCGAGAATGTTTAATCTGTTTTTTTTCCTACCCAAATTCATTAATAAATATCGGAAAATGTCAGAACATTAATCCTTTTATGTCCAACACTTTAAGGGAAGTACGCCCCATGCAAGATTCCGCTTCATGCATGACACCGGAAGACAAAAAGCATGGTATGGAAGGGGAAAATGTTGTGGCTTATGGCCGCCTGCCTTCCCCCGCTCCCCTGTCTGGATTTTTGGAAAAGGCAAGTATATCAATGCACTATCCGGGGGTAGGTAGGAAGGGAACCCCCAGGCGCTATGTAAGCCTCCGCTATACGGTTCCGAGCCTCCCAGATTTGCTAGGCAGACCGAGCCTCCGTCATGCAATAAGATCCTCCGCTCTACAGAATGATTTCCATAAAACTCTTGATTTTTATCTGTAGAATTTTTTTAATTTTTTTTCGAGATAGTGCCACAAAAAGTTTATCAAAGATAAGAAGTATTAATCAATTATTTAAACTAGTTTTTTTAGGGCGCTTCGCGTCCATCATCTATTTTAACCGTAGAGAATAGAATATATAGAGAGGAATTAAAAAAATCTCTCGGTATGAATTTGTTCAGTCCCTTTAAGCCTGAAAGGGAGTTCAACGTGTACAAATCATGTAAATGTTTACAAATTATATGCAGTAGAGTACATTAATACAGTATGTTCCCTAGACTATTCATTTCAATTTCTAATTTTTTAAACTGTTAAATAAAATTTATAATGAATTAGGTGAATAAAAACATCATTTGATTTAAAGTTATAACGGAAAATCTTCGTTTGTAAAGTGAAAGGCATAGAGTCTATATGAAATTTATATGAAATGATAACTGGTCAAATAATTTTAGATTTTCTATAAACTGATATTCCAGGGCCCAACAGGTTATATAACATAAATATGTGAAGTACACCTGCAGTATGGAAACAGTACAACAAAATGGCCGTTTTACACTTTTTTCCAGTAAATTCCTCTCTATATATTCTATTCTCTATGATTTTAACTTTTAATTGTGGCTTCATCTGTGAGCATCTTCTCTTGGCAGCACTCGGTTCCCAACCTAGTTAATGTCAGGGTTTCTTGTGACAGTGCAAAAAAGTATAAAGTATAAAGTTGGACAATTTAGATAATTTATTGAATGATTGTTTGACACAGGGTTGGGTTTGCACAGTGTACAGCAGTTAATAATGTACGTTATACATTGTACAATTTTACGGTTTTTACATAATTTACAGATAAAATACTATACGTTACGTATAGTATTTACATTTGCAATTACACATAGAGCTCAGCAATACAACATATTATAAAAATATTTTTCAAGCATGTATTAATATGCAGGGTGTCCAAGAATAGGAGTATTAAAATGAGCTAAAGGTATAAGTTCCTGGACACCCTGTAATAAACGCTATGGTCCAGAAAGTATAATGGTTAAAAGGTAACATGATTGATTGATTAACTAAATGACAGTTTAATACATGTTTTTTACTAACATTTGTATTTATAGAAATAATTCTAAACTATAGGATAAATATTGGTATTAAGGAATTCACAGTTCACAGTTTATATAAGATCGTATTAATTTCCTTAATTTTAGGTTCTGGAACTATCCAAACATTGTTTGTGAAAACTTGCATCATTTTCGGATGTGTTTACATTTTTCCTCATCGACAATAATTTGTCATCCATCTTTTATTTTCTTATTATTGTGTTTGTTTGCCAGAAAGTATCGAGTAAATGGGTTCTTCTATACCTCTAGTCCAAATTATGCATCTACAATATTTTTGATAAAAATGAATTAAAGTACTAAAAGCTATAAAAACCCAGATTATTTAATGATAGGACAAAAGATGTGGGGTGTATAAATCAGTGCTTAAGTACTTCTATGTGCACAATTAGTTCTGAGATTTTAATATCATCCACTTCCATTTAGAGAGTGTCATGCCCGATTCTAATTCTAATTCGTTTTTCTAGCTTAACAAGTGTTAAATTCTAAACATTCCTCCATTGTTTCTGTAGACGACCACCGCAAATCACTTTTGTGGAGAAGCAACAATTAAAAATTAACAAATACAAATCAATTTTCTAAGTTAAACACATGGAAATCATTTATGGGTATCGTTATGAATGGGACATACCAGCTCTTTAATTGGATGAGATCACTTCAAATCTCGTATATGTTAACATGAAACAGTTCCTTTAAAGAAGAGAAATTGTATGGTTTAGAGCTAATTTAATCACTAAGACATCTTGAAAAATCTGAGTAATCTGAGGCCGAATTAAAAGAATTTGAGCCGCGGCTTAAATTTAAGCCGCGGCTCAAATATGGTTGGTTCCACTAAAATCGTATTCTTTGTTTCAAGATTTAAGCCGGCGTCCAATTGAAACCGGTTTTTGGCGGACTTAAGACGCGGCTCAAATTCATTAAATTCGGACACTATACAGTGTACAATATGTGTAGTATTTTGTTATGGATAAAGGACTCATTGATTTAAATACCATATCTATCTATATGTAATATTAATTATATATACTAAACTGATTAAATGTTCAAATTGATTCAAAAGATAATATGAAATTTCTAAATATTTGTATATTTTATAAATTCAGAAATAATTATTGACGGGTCTAAAATATGAGACTCCATAGATTGGCCACAATATGTTTACCTAATCTAATGCAGAATTTGGCATGTAGATAGTTCGAATGGCAGAAGAAATGAGCACTTCAATTTTATAGGATTTATTAATCCTATATTTTTGTGCTTCACTCTTGGTTGCAGTTTGTGTTTTGGTAGATTATTGGAAGATAGGATTTGTTGTACAAGATGGATCTGTATTAAAATGGCGTAAAGTTCAATGTACGTATGTTCTATATGTTAATTATACCTTACGTTTTTCAGTTATTCATCTAGGTTTGACTACATGTTGTGGTTTGAAACTGAATATTGTTGGTGTTGATCTTGATCCACAATAAAGTTTTTAAACTGCGCGCAGATGTTTCACATTTTTTATAAACTATATTTTGGGCTGGGTTGACACTCTTTAGTTCTTGAGATTAAATCACTAAAAGTTTTATCCTACTAAACACTAGTGAATGAATGATTGCTTGGCATGCCATCAGTAATGATACTGCATGTGTCTGTATCCTCATATACTGTTTCTATCACTTCTATACTATCCACTCCTCTATCATTATTTTCTTCTTTCTTCAACTCCTTCTTTTCTTCTTTTGTTTCTTCACAGCCTACACAATCAGTACAGATTATAAGAATATTCATAGCTGAATAAAAAATGGGGGAAGGAGTGGGGGAGGGTCTGCAAACTTGAAAACAAATATTTAAATATGAACAATAAGATGTATTTACATTCTATAGAACCACTATAGCACTTGAAAGAACCTATCAATTAAACTATAAAGGCATTCTTTAAACAATATTTCAAGTTCTTATTCCTGCACAAGCAATACAAGCAACATTATTCAACACTTCAACCCACCCTACCTCTATATTCAATACAAGCAATACAAGCAACATTATTCAACACTTCAACCCACCCTACCTCTATATTCAATCATTCACAGCTAGAGATGGGCGCATTCAGTTTTTTTTCATTTCGCTCGTTCATCATTCGTTTGGTTATTTTTTTTTTTTTTTTAAATCATTTTGTTCGTTCTCAAAAATATCGGTCATTTTCCATCTATTCCGTTCGTTTTCTCACGGAACGATCGTTCAGTTAAATCGTTACTTAAATGAATTCGTTATTTAAGTAAAAAACGTCAGGTTTGTAAAAAGTTTGAAGAAAAAAAATAGTTTGTTCAATAAAACCCAAGTTTTTTCAAGTTCGTTTTGAAAAAACTGAAGTTTTTTTAGTTCTCTCAACAATCCAAGTCGTTTGACCATCGTTAGTCTTTCTTAACGACACCATCATACACAAAAAATTCTTCGTTCGTTTTAAAAATTTTGTTCATTGAAAAAAACGATTTACATCTCTATTTGCAGCCACATTTTATCCAGTAATATTACAAAAACATTCTGTTATCAATCATCATTATCTCGTTTATACACAAGTTATATGTCACCAACGTTGATGCACAGGGTTGTCCACAAAGAATGATCAGTTTTTTTTTTACATTTTAGTTTCTCTGTAATGCAATAGTACACTTGGGTTTTTCTTAACCAAGATTAATGCGAAATTTTAAGTAATCCTCTATTCTATAGTAATACTCCTTTCATGTCGGTAGCCTGGAAACCTTTATCTGATCTTTAAAGTGGAGTGTTGATTCTGATAATTCCTTTAAGTTTTCCTGAAGTAGAAATGCGAAAGTCACTTTTGATGAGAAACCATAATTAAAAATTAAATTATGAGCATTGACTTTAATGTATTTGTATATAGTTTAATGTATTTGTATATAGTTTAATGTATTTGTATATAGTTTAATGTATTTGTATATAGTTTAATGTATTTGTATATAGTTTAATGTATTTGTATATAGTTTAATGTATTTGTATATAGTTTAATGTATTTGTATATAGTTTAATGTATTTGTATATAGTTTAATGTATTTGTATATAGTTTAATGTATTTGTATATAGTTTAATGTATTTGTATATAGTTTAATGTATTTGTATATAGTTTAATGTATTTGTATATAGTTTAATGTATTTGTATATAGTTTAATGTATTTGTATATAGTTTAATGTATTTGTATATAGTTTAATGTATTTGTATATAGTTTAATGTATTTGTATATAGTTTAATGTATTTGTATATAGTTTAATGTATTTGTATATAGTTTAATGTATTTGTATATAGTTTAATGTATTTGTATATAGTTTAATGTATTTGTATATAGTTTAATGTATTTGTATATAGTTTAATGTATTTGTATATAGTTTAATGTATTTGTATATAGTTTAATGTATTTGTATATAGTTTAATGTATTTGTATATAGTTTAATGTATTTGTATATAGTTTAATGTATTTGTATATAGTTTAATGTATTTGTATATAGTTTAATGTATTTGTAAATAGTTTAATGTATTTGTATATAGTTTAATGTATTTGTATATAGTTTAATGTAATCTTTCTAAAGATTTGTTTCCTAATTATCCTAACGGCATTGAATCTTATCCTAATGTATAATGATCAGTAGTTATTTAAGTATGATTAAGACTGAATATTGAACAATGAAAATGAGAAAAGTTTTCATTAAGTGTTGGACTAGTTGGACTTAAGGGTTTCAGGTTTAAATCTGTAGATTGCCTTGTTGAGATATTCCAATCTCGAGGTTTAGTACAGGAGGATGAATCCGGACATACGGATTAGCTGCAAACTGGGGACTGTCTCCACCAACTTCGCTTCCACTAAGATCACTGTCCGAATCAAACTGAGCAGCAAAAGAGTTTCTAGTTCTTCTGCTCCCGCCTCCAGAACTCTCTTCACTTAAACTCTGAGTTTGAGTAGGGGGACTCTTTCTCTTCTCGTCGCTGGAGTCGGAAGAGTCTGAAAGACTACTGCGTTCAATGAGACTATAGTTTGAGCTCTGTTTTAATTTCTCCCTTTTCAGTTCTATCTCTAGTTGATCCCGAAGCTCCGAGATGGATTTGCTACTGCTTGCTTTACGCTGCCGTCGCATATCAGGACTTTTATCGAACCCAAGGTTATCAAACACCCGGACATCCTTGTTCACTCGGAGGGTCTGGCTCTTTCCTAGATCATGCTCCCGGCTTCCTTTCCTGCTTCCTTCTCTGGTTGTGCTGCTCCGTTTAACCGGCTTCTTGTTCTCTGATTCGATCCAATCACACTGTGTAGTAGATAAGGTTCTCTTATCCTTCCTATCTGTAAGCTCGTTTAATATTAAGTCTGGGGAAGGGTTGGGTTGACTCACGGACCTCTTGAACTTTTTACTTTGCTCATATTCTTTATCGGAACCTTTATTCAGGGTTAGTCGATAGTCCTCTAGTCCAATAGGGTTACTAACTCGAGATTCTTTTCTCTTCTCCGGACTACGATCTCGTCTAGGTCGGTCTGATTTGGATATTTTAGAGACAATAACCTTGTCAGTGACTCTCTCCTTGGACTTGTCTTTCTTGGATTTTAAGACGAAAGCTGGTGGATCAGGATCAGAATGAACCTCGGATTTTTGTCGGAGAATTTCCTTCCCTGTATTCCCGGATTTTCTTCTCCTGTGTCTATTAGGATTAGGTTTGGGTTTATCCGGTTTCTCCGGGTGTGAGGCAACCCTGTTGTGATTTAATATCAGGTTCCCTGCATCCCTCAGCTCTAAACTCATCTTGAAGGGACCCAGCTTGGCAATTGTGACTTCTCTGGGTTCTGGGTCTGTGGATGGTTTATCACCCTTATCCTTACTCCGATCTTTACTCCGTGGTTTGTCCCTGGATTTACTCCGCTTTCTCTTCTTCTCCTCTCCTCCCAGTTTCTCAAAGCTTTTGCTCAAGGTTGTCGCTGATTTAGACAATTTTTTCATTTGATCCAGAGGTTTAGGTTTCCGGGATTTAGAAGGACTACTTGACCTGTTTCTAGCGGCAGGGGTTTCTGATTCAACGCTCTGGCTTCTGTTCTTTAGTTTAGGACGCTGTTCTCGTATTTCTAATGAAACGGGCGGAAGTGCTACAATCAGCTTAGTTAAACCTTTAGCCAGGGTTCCAGCTCTATCCTTCGGTGTTTCCTCCCTCACTTCCTCAATTTTAGAGGATTTTCGTCGCTCACGTTTGCGGGATTTTTCCTTTGCTTTATTTGTTTCATCTCTCTTTTTGTATCGTTGGCCAAGAAAGGGGATATGATGCTTGAAGGTGGTTGGATGAACTGTGGCGTCGTCAAGGTTAGACTGAATACCTCCACCCTCCTCTACATCAGCTTCATGATGTACACTTCGAGGCTTACGTCGTCTTCGTTGCACATAGGGAGTCTTCTTCCCGCAGAATTTCACAATCGTAACCTGCACAAAAAATCAAACTAGTTAGACATTTTTTTCCTCGAAAATTGCTAATACGATGCTAATCTATCTATATATCTAATCTATGTATCTAATATATATATCTATATATCTATCTATATATCTAGAATATATATCTATATATCTATATATTTATATATTTATATATCTATATATCTATCTATCTATCTATAGTGTGTCTAAAAAAACGGGGAATAAGGGTCTACAGACTTGTTTGTAATCAGATTTTCAAAATTGAGACCATTTCTTAAATCTACGCACAATTTCCAATTCAATGATCCCCATTTTAGGGGACAGGGGTGTTGATCTAAAAATGATAATTTTAAAGGATCCTTAAGTTTCCAACTGCAGAGTGAATAAATTTGGAAAAAATAAAGATAACCTCCGTTTGCACATAAGGGTCTATGCAAACTTGTTTGTATTTTCAGATTTTCAAGATTGAGCACTTTTTTGATATTTACGTAAATTTCAGATTCAATAATTTTAGGCTTTTAGATCTAAAAATAACAATTGTACTTTAATCAACTGTATATAGAATTGTGCAAACGGAGATTATCTTTTACTTTTTACTTTGCTCCAGTTGGAAACTTTAGAAGCCATATAAAATTGGTACTTTTAGATCTACAAGCCTAAAATTGAACTCATTGAATCGGAACTTGTACGTAGATTTTAAAAATGGTCTCAATCTTGAAAATCAAATTACAAACGAGTCTGTAGACCCCTAGTCCCCGTTTTTTTTAGACACCCTGGGCCTGTACCTATCTTATCTATCTATAAAAGATTCCCTGAATAAATGTATTCCCAAGAATCCATATTTTTCCTCTTATAAAAAAGAATATATTAGAAACTATCAATACCCTGCATCTATTTACTCTTTATTCACATTTCTCACAAAATTTAGAGAAACAAGATTTTTAGAAAGAAAGACCAACCCCTAAATATTACGGATATTTGCTGCAAAAAACTGCGCCGATTTATATCTCTAATTGGATAATGAGATAGATAGAAGGATAGATGTTACCACCATACAATTTCTATTGGTTCAGAATTGACACCAAACACATGGCTGAACCCTGATTGGATCAGGCGCTAATGGACTCGGCATACAGGAGTGAAAATACAACCATTAAACGTCAAACGTTAAAACCATGCCTTTTATAGGACATTAAATATATGTTAATCATGAAAGCTGACAGTAATAATTGATACACTAGCTAGGATGAACAACTTGACTTCAAAATAAATAACAAAGTTTAAATTGCTTGAGAGACTTCTTATAAAATCCTATAATTATTACGGAGTTGTCAGTAATAATTATCAATTGGCTAAATCTTATCAATTATAACTGAGTTGTCAGTAATAATTATTAATTGGCCACATCTTATAAATTATTAAGGAGTTGTCAGTAATAATTATTAATTGGCCACATCTTATAAATTATTAAGGAGTTGTCAGTAATAATTATTAATTGGCTACATCTTATCAATTATAACGGAGTTGTCAGTAATAATTATTAATTGGCCACATCTTATAAATTATTACAGAGTTGTCAGTAATAATTATTAATTGGCCACATCTTATAAGTTATTACAGAGTTGTCAGTAATAATTATCAATTGGCCACATCTTATAAATTATTACAGAGTTGTCAGTAATAATTATTTATTGGCCACATCTTATAAATTATTAAGGAGTTGTCTGTAATAATAATTAATTGGCCACATCTTATAAATTATTACAGAGTTGTCAGTAATAATTATTAATGGCCACATCTTATAAATTATTAAGGAGTTGTCAGTAATAATTATTTATTGGCCACATCCTATCAATTATAGCGGAGTTGTCAGAAATAATCTATAATAAGCAGCTGACTTGTATTTTTGTATACGATTAGCCCAGTAGCTTACCATGAGAGCTATGACAGCTACGGCAGCGATGACAGCCGAATACCAGTAATTAGTTAGGAAACGTCGTAGAGAAGCTAAGCTCTGATCTGATAGAAGAATTTTTCGTAGAGTTGCCAGAGGACCAGACGGGTCAACCTAGAAATTAGAGTAAATGAAGATAAAGCGTAGTTGTACTTGAGCACAACCGAAATCAGCTAGATGCAAATAGATTCTAGTACAATAGATGGCAACGTAGAATGTGTACACTCTCAGAACAGCTGTATTCTTACGTCACAAGTGTCAACAAAGTTTTTGTGTCCGACAAAATTATTAATAATAGTGATAATTTTTAAACAAAGTGCTTATCTTACCGTAAAATAAGTGCAATTTTATATATTTTTTATTTTCTGGATTTACACATTTTTATTTAATCTTGGAAACCATGTCAACTAATGTGAGTAAATTTTGTTTTCTTTGTTATATTTGACACTTGTGACGTCGAGTATAATTGATCCATTTCTCTGTTGCCACCTATTCTACTTGAAAACCTATTTGGGTAAATGTAGATTTCTCACACGATGTCGCATGAACATCAAGTCTTAACATATAGTTTGGAAAAGAAAGCACGCAGAATCCTGTTTTTTCTTAGCTTTTTACAGACTCAGTGACCTCTACGCCGTAATAATAATTAAACTGGCAAGGGGAAGGGGTTTCAGTTGGCCCGGACAGAACAAAACAGAGTTCGAGAATATTTTTAACTTTGTATCCTTTTTTATTTATGGAGATTATTCAGTGACTTCGAGCAAATGTAGGAATTTAGACTCTTCAATTAAAAAACACTTACAATTATTCTAAATTTTTAGTTATTTTTGCAGGTGGCGCCACAAAATCCGCTAACTTCATAAAGTCAAAATTTTGCATAATGTTATAAAAGTAATTGTAGAGAATTCAATTTCGTAGATTTGGTATATCTGCCCCCCCCCCCCTGAAAGCTGAACTTTTATGGTTTGAATTGAATAGATCAAATATGGTTGCCAAATTATTACTTTTGATTAATAAAAAAGAAACACCTGCAGTCGTACGTTATTTGTTCAATTTCGGTTTTGATTAGACTTATATTTCACCGTTAATTTGTTTAAATAAAATCAATTTTTTCACGATGTTTTATGTATTTAAAAATATTTCATAATTTAGAATTTTGCAAATATTTGAGTTTAACTTTCTGCATCTGCATGATAAAACTAGGAATATGTAAATACTGTACAATACTCAATACAATATATTTCCATATTTACACAAAATATTATTCTATTTGTATACATCAAACCTTGTTTTCTGCTCCCATATATTTTATCTGGATAATGTTTATAAACAGGGGGTATTTACACGATTTAATCGGGGGAGGGGAAGGGGGGGGGGTGGTATTTTTTTAAATAGAAATAAAGCTAAAATATTTAGTATTTTCTACTGGTTATAACTATTGTTGTAACCTGGTTCGTTTTTCCACATATTTGCTCCAAGGGTTAAAATTTTGTTAGAAAAGCAAATTAATGTTTATTATTATTATTATTTTATTAATTTATTTAAAAATGAATTATTCTATTGCTTGCCAAATTTGGACCTTGACGTAAATATATGCAAAAAACGAACCAATAATAATAATAACAAAAATAATTATGATCATAATGTGGAACTAACATCTACATTTTTTACTCTACAGAGGTTTGGTCCATCACCATCATCGAATTTTAAATGATTATAGTGTTTACCTCTCTGCATTTTAGATCATAATAATGTTTACCTCTCTGCATTTTAGATCATAATAGTGTTTACCTCTCTGTATTTTAGATCATAATAGTGTTTACCTCTTTGTATTTTAGATCATAATAATGTTTACCTCTCTGCATTTTTGAAAAACATCACAGTATCCCTGGTAATTATTACAGGGTGTGCCAGGTTTACTGAACATATCTGGTATATCCAGGGGCGGAGTATTCATCTGGAAAGAGGAAACACAAGGGTTTGAATCTCCGGGTAGTTTACAGCACAGCTCACAAGATCTTGTCTCAGGGTCCTCCAACCCCTGGGAGCACTGACAGGACTCCATACCGTAGGCCAAGCAGATAGATCCTGTACACTCCTAAACAATATATTCTTTTAGAACATATTTAATTGTTTAAATTCAAATTTTAACCAAATTTTATAATCATTTAGTTGATAGCAGCGGCAAATATTTAAACATTTCTGTTTTTCTCTAATTTCTTGTTGTTGTTCGTGCATCATCCATCATGTTAGGCTAATATTGAAAAGATAAGAAAACTTTTTTCTGATGTCCTCGCAAACTGCTGAGATTGCTAGAGTTCCAGAACTAACTATAAGAGGCCAGGGTTTAAACAATACATTGTCAAAATGGTAAAGAAAATGGTAAAGAAAATGGTGAAGAAAATGGCAAAGAAAATTGTAAAGAAAATGGTAAAGAAAATTGTACAAAAATTGTAAAGAAAATGGTAAAGAAAATGATAAAGAAAATGGTAAAGAAAATAGTAAAGAAAATGGTAAAGAAAATGGTAAAGAAAACGGTAAAGAAAATTGAAAAGAAAATTGTTAAGAAAATGGTAAAGAAAATGGTAAAGAAATTGTAAAGAAAATGGTAAAAAATGGTAAAGAAAATTGTAAAGAAAATGGCTAGGAAAATGGTAATTAAAATGACAAAGGAAATGGAAAATAAAATTGTAAAGAAAATGGTAAAGAAAATGGCAAAGAAAATGGTAAAGAAAACAATTGCTGAGGCCAGGGTTTAAACAATACATTGTCAAAATGGTAAAGAAAATGGCAAAGAAAATTGTTACGAAAATGGTAAAGAAAATGGTAAAGAAAATTGTAAAAAAAAATGGTAAAGAAAATAGTAAAGAAAATGGTAAAGAAAATGGTAAAGAAAATAGTAAAGAAAATGGTAAAGAAAATGGTAAAGAAAACGGTAAAATAAATTGAAAAGAAAATTGTTAAGAAAATGGTAAAGAAAATGGTAAAGAAATTGTAAAGAAATTGGTAAAGAAATTGTAAAGAAAATGGTAAAGAAAATGGCAAAGAAAATGGTAAAGAAAACAATTGCTGAGGCCCGGGTTTAAACAACACATTGTCAAAATGGTAAAGAAACTGGTAAAGAAAATGGAAAAGAAAATTGTTAAGAAAATGGAAAAGAAAACGGTAAATGAGTCTTTGCCACAAGCTCAAGTTTTCTAATCTTTATATCTTTACACTTACTACCGACCGCTTAATCTGAATATCCAAGGTGGACACTATTGATTTCTGCTTAATCTGAATATCCAAGGTGGACACTATTGATTTCTGCTTAATCTGAATATCCAAGGTGGACACTATTGATTTCTGCTTAATCCGCTCTTTTACCCTTTTATTGAATATCAATCCCAGATTTCGACCAATTCGAGAGTTCTCTCATAAATAGCGCGCAAAATTCCAAAATCAAAAATAGATCAAAAGATTTATCCGTTTAAAGTATCATAGGTTTACACCATCAGATTGGAAAGATGTGTGGGTTAGGGAAAATTTGAATTTGTGGCAAAAACTCAATTTCATTCAGACTAGACAAGCTAAAACTAGACAGTAGTAATAGTAATATTAATGTGATTTAGATCAATCCATAAATAAGAATTTAATAAATAAGAATTTAATGAATAAGAATTTAATGACTCAGCTACATTTTGCCTAGTCACAATTTGCCTAGTCACATTTTGCCTAGTCACAACTTGCCTAGTTCAATCTTGCCTAGGTAACATTTTGCCTAGTTCAAGTTTGCCTAGTAACATTTTGCCTAGGTAACACAAGAGCCTGAGCATGTTTTTTGCCTATTGCGTTTTTTTAAAACAAATTTTGTCAAAAATTAAAAAATTTTTTTAAGCTTAACCAGTTAAATTTTAATGAATTAGATGTTATAGAACAATTGAATTGTATCTTGTCCAGCAATTTTAACATTTTTATTATACTCTACAACAGATGAAATATGGTTATATATCAGATATATATATATATTTTTTAATTACAGTTTACATCATGGAGGATAGATATGTATCATTATTTATCTTATTTCTCAATCTTGGTCTCTGCCCTCTTCCCATCGAAAACATAGGAGAAGTTATTCTTTTCCCTGTAGTTGGGCTTACCCCGAATGGTAAGGGTAAGCCCTGCAGTTATCATGGGAGCCATTTTCAATGTGTCTTTCGATCTGATTGGTTCATAGAAAATTGAACTATTTTTAAAAATTTGCGAAATTTTTGCCAAAAAATTTGCAGATTTTTGAAAAAAATTCTCGGATTGTTGAAAATTTTCTTTGTGAAAAAATGATTGACTAGGCAAAATGTAGCTGAGCCATCCAGTCGAGATTTCATAGTCATAAGTTTTAGACTAAGCTATTTTTAAGGAACAAGAAAATGTTGAAAACTTAAATATATTGTACAATACTGTACTGTATTGTACAATACTGTACTGTATTGTACAATACTGTACTGTACTGTATTGTACTGTATTGTACTTACTGTACTTACTGTACTGTACTGTAATATAGATAGATATATATTTATCATTAAAGTACATAATTTTACATAGACATATTCTTTAAACTAACACTTTAATGACGGGATTTGCCAAGCCAACATTGGCCGTCTTTAATGGCAAACCCGAATGTTATTGTATGATATAATATTTAAATCATACAATTGGAGGTGTTTCGTCCAATAGGTAGGGGAAAGTATTAGGAAGAGAGAGGGGGGTGGGTTATGTAGCTCAATTAGAATCAGAAGCTAGCTCAGAACTTAGGAAAGCACATTTTTATTCAGAAATACATAAATAACAGTTTGATCTTGAACATTCAAATTGCAGATACATATTTGTTTTATTCACATGCAATTTATTTTTTAACAAGTTTAATGAACACGAGTTCTTTATTTCTAGTATACTAAACTGCATTGTACAATACTTTTCTTTATTTCTAGTATACTAAACTGCATTGTATAATACCTTTACAACAGCTTACTGCGTTGCCTTAATCTAAACCTTTTCTAAGAAAGTTGACAGAAAGTAAAAGATCTATTGAGATGATTTCTTAACAACTTTATAGACTAAAGAAGAACAAAGTTTTTACTTCGTTTCTAACTTTACTAGGGAACACTGAACAAATATAGATAGACACATAATAGAGTGTAGAGTGTAGAGTGTAGAGTGTAGAGTGTAGAGTGTAGAGTGTAGAGTGTAGAGTGTAGAGTGTGTAGAGTAGAGTATAAGCTATAAATGAACCAATATAAAGGATACACTGCAGTAGAATGCCCAGGGGAGAAAAAGCATAAATTTCTGTTTCTTTAACATTCTTTCAGGAAATACCATTTGGTTTAAGACTTGATATTGGAATTCACTAAGGTGCACGTTTTCGATAACAAACTATATTACAGAGAGTACAGTGGTACCCATAAAACTGTGGAATATTATTATTACATATATACATTAATACATTAATATACATAGGCAAGTGTCATAACATTGCTTTTTATGTCAAATATTTATTGAAATGGTTAAAATATTAGGGTAAATGATCTGTCATGTTTATGAGGATTTTACAAACTTTGATTGGCCTCCGTTTATGTTTTTCTAACAATTATACTTTCGGAAATTTTTATCTGCAACGACTAAATTAAATATTAATCATTTCTATATTTTTAAGTTCACGTATTTTGTGACACCGAGTAAGAGGGTATGAGGAAGCTATGCTAAACCAGCAGGGGGTTTAAACCCCAGCATTCGTCTGTCATATAAATATAATCAAATCTTTTTATATCATAACAATACAATATACCCTCCTATACCATCAATAACTTCATATCCATACCTTCTTATCCATACCCTCCATACCATCTTATCCATACCATCTATACCTTCTTATCCATACCCTCCATACCTTCTTATCCATACATTCCATACCTTCTTATCCATACCCTCCATACCTTCTTATCCTTACCATCCGTACCTTCTTATCCATACCATCCATACCTTCTTATCCATACCTTCTTATCCTTGCCATCCATACCTTCTTATTCTTACAATCCATAACCTTCTTATCTAAACCATCTTATCCATACCCTCCATCCCTTCTTATCCATACCATCCATACTTTCTTATCCTTACCATCCATACCTTCTTATCCTTACCATCCGTACCTTCTTATCCTTACCATCCATACCTTCTTATCCTTACCATCTATACCTTCTTATCCATACCATCCATACCATCTATACCTTCTTATCCATACCATCCATACCATCCATACCATCCATACCTTCTTATCCTTACCATCCATACCGTCTATACCTTCTTCAATTTATTTCTGAATATTTCTAAGCACGTGTCGCTATCATTATTATACATCAACAAACCATTTAGATAAGATTGTGTAAACTTCTTCTTGAATTCAAATATAAAGATTCAATGATTTATTCCATACAACAGCAATCCATGTACTAGAATTTAAATAGATTTCTTTTAAATTACTTTTTAGGGATTACAATTCACGCCAACTTAAAGTGAATTAAACGTTAGTTTGAAATCTTAAACATTTTCAAAAAAAGAATAAATAAGTTTTGATTGAAACCAAATAAATTGTCTTCGTTCTATACTTGTGCGTTAAATCGAAATAGGAGGCGCTTAGTGGTCAAAAAGTCATCTTTTTCGACGTAAACATAAATTTAACAACCTTTAATTCAAATTCTGCACAAAATGAAAATTTCGTTGAGTTTTGCAATAATAAATCCCCAAAAGCAACATCTGATAAACTGTAAAAAGTAAAAATAAATCTATTTTAGAAATGTTTGTAAACCCACCTTGATGCTGTTGTATATATGGTATATATATATACATTGATTGGGTAATTTGATCAATTGATTAGCTTAAAAAGAAAACCAGCAATATATATTTTTTATATGTTTTTGCTTTGATTAACTAGAGAGATAGAAGTATATACACAAATCTAATTTTCTAATCTATTATTTATGTACTTGGAACATACTGTACATAAGATGCATAGAAACATACCAGAGGTTACTGCAAACTATACACAGAAGGAGAAGCTCAAATTTCTGCAATATTACTAGCACGTAAAAAATCTTTGTTCTTCTCATATAGCTGTTCAATAAGAAGAATTATGATTGAAAACATAGAAGAAGGTAAACAACTTATTTTTACCTAAAAAATCATGTATTGTTTCTTGAAATCATACATTTGCTCCATTTGATCAATAGATCGCCTAGAAATGCTACACATATTGTGCACACGTCAGCTGTAGTACATTTGAATATCCGAGCCGGGTCAATCTTTTCGGTCTCAGTTTGTACTGTATCGCCCGGACATTGGGTAAATAAGGCAGACACTCAATAGGACTAGCCGGTGCAACAAGGTTGACGCGGTCAGACTTTAGGTTGAATTTACTTTTACTAAAGTGTTAGAGGTGCGTGTGCAATATTAAATCAGAAAATAGGGAATGCGAATCGTATTTCTTATTCATAAGAGTAAATGGGGTGTACAATGTACATTTTGGGTTCGATTGCCTCAGATTTTACTGTTTTTACTGCATACTGTCTTTTAGGGTGTTTCACGCTCATCTTCTCACTCGATTGTAAACATTTTTTCTTTGTATACATTGTAAAGCAAAGACAAAAGAATTTGCGGATTTTATCAAAAAAAAACTTGTAGATTTTTAAAAATTAATAGAAATCGAGTTTTGTTGGAGGCTAATTTTTTTAAATTTTGATCATCCATAAACCTTTCCTTAGTCATGTGAGGTCCCACAAAAATTTGGGCCGGATTAGTTCAGCCGTATTGCCGTTTATTGGATACAAACGGACATATAAACGAAAAAACAAACAAACAAACAAGCAAAGTATAAATAGATTGGTAAATATTCAAAAATGATGATTTAAAAACTTTAATCCGGATCATTTTAAATTTTATTTGATCTGAAGAAATCCACAAACAAAGATAGATATTTGTTATTTTTTTATTTAATTAAAAATCTTTTAAATGCTTTGAAGACCTGAAATAAAATTCAAAATATGTTCAAAACATCTAGAACCATATTTGTGCGTCTTCATTGTCTAGGAATCCCAGAGTTTTTATATTTATCTTTCTTTATAGCTATAAATATATGTAGTTTAATATTATTAGTATCACCTATCAGTTTAACAGTTTTTATACAGGGTGTCCCACGAAACATGACAATAGTAAGACGACTTGAAAGTCGTCTTTGGTATTTGAATTTATTTGTGACATTTAGTCTTCTATCTACTTTAACATGTATGATTCTTGAAACAATTATCACATAATTCTCCTAGCCCTGGCATTTCCAAAAAGTGGTCTGTGTTTTTTGTGATTTCAATATTACCGGAGATATAAACGAAATTCTTCATATCTCGGGCAATATTGAAAGCACAAAAAAGGCAGACCACATTTTGGAAATGGCAGGACAAGGGAAATTTTGTGATTATTATCTCTAGAAATTTACTTCTAAAATTAGGTTGACAAATAAACGCAGCACATTATATCAAAATTCAAGACGACATTCAAGTCGTCCTGCATACTGTCATGTTTCGTGGGACACCCTGTAAAAAATATCTATGTTTGACTATCAAATATATGTAAGTGTGTATATAATATATCCGTGTATTGGTTTATGTGATAGATATAGAATCTTCTTATATATCTTGGAAACCCAGCTTTGTCTAAATTTCTAAACAATTTCCCGCACTTCAACGATTTGACCGAGAAACTAAAAAGTCGACCCACTCAACTTAGAATCTTTAAATAAAAAGTTAAGCACATTCCCATGGGTCTTCCGAAATCCCCAATTAAAAAATTGAGGCAAATCGGTCCAGGGATTCACAGGGATTATCTTATATGGATATAGATAAAGAGGATAAATGAAATTAATAAAATTAGAGGAATAATGGTATAAATGGAAGAATAATTAGATTATTAGATATATCAATTGTATTCTTTCAAACATACAAAACATACATAATACATACAATACATACATAATACATACAATACATAAACATTACATACATGCAATACATACACAATACATACAATACTTACACATTACATACAATACATACATAATACATACAATACATACATATTACATACAATACATAAATAATACATACAATACATACACATTACATACAATACATACACATTACATACAATACATAAACAATACATACAAAACATACATATAATACATACAATACATACACATTACATACAATACATATACATTACATACAAAACATACATAATACATACATTACATACACATTACATACATCTATAAAGGTGGTTTTAAAAATTCACTTGCAGAAAATGCCAGGTTTTGCATATTTCGGTTTTATAGCTTGGAGATAATCCAATACAAAAAATATGGAAAAATAGATAAGGAAATAGATAGAAACTAGATAGAAACTAGATAGAAAAGTAGATAGAAAAATATATAGAAAAAAATAAAAAAATAGATAGAAAATAGATAAAAATAGATAGAAAAAAGAAAGAAAATAGATCTAAAAATGAGCCTACCCCTAGAAAGCAGACGAACTCCTCATTGCACACAGTTTTATTTTGTTTGAGTAGGGAGGGAGGACACTGTGTTCCCTGACCATTACAATAACTCTCATCCCTGCACCCGTTATCCTCCCTGCACTGGTTCCCGAGGTTGTAGGAGCAGTCCCTACTGCAGCAGGGACCCTGGCTAGGAGAGCAGACACGTCCAGGTTTCAGGGTACACGGCAGCTACAACAATTTTACAATTAACCCCTGGCTACAACAAAAAATATATTAATTAGAATATTTTAGCTAGACTCAAGTTCAGATCTTTGATATAAAAGCAATTGTGCAGTGTAAAGGGACCCACTGAACTTAATAAAATTTAATTAAAAAATAGAATAAGTTTGCTTCAGTTGCGTCTCCTTATTCAAGGGCGTATTCAAGGGTCTGAGCCCCCATAGCCCCCACCCTGAATTTTCATCTGTTTTTATTCCTTAGTTTTAACAGGTCCAACTTTCCTAAGGGTAGAAATATGTTTACTTAATATGTTCACTGATGGCTTCTTTTGATTTCTGGATTTCGACCAATGAGTTCTCTCATAAAATGGCGCGCACAATTTCAAACTTCCCGGCTTCTGATACGCCAATTGAATACTCCTTTTGGTTTTATTTTATTTACATTTCGGGATTCCAACTAAAGGTTAAAAAGGAGAGATATAGCATTGATCTCAGTAACCACAATTCTAAAGCTTTAAACTTAGAACAAATTCATGTTTTTCAGAGACAAAATCAATAGTAGACTTTTACAATAATTTTCAACAAAATATTTAAAGTTTTGTGCGCAAAATGAACCTGATTTGCCGCGTATTTGGTTCTCTGTGGCCAACAGCAATCCTCTAAACAATCCTCTTCCCAACCACAATCACACTCCTCCCCCTCCTCTACCACACCGTTACCACAGATTGCCATTTGTGGTTCTACAATTAGGAAATTAATCATTACAGTGCAATAATACTCGGTAAAAATTCTAGTTTAGTTGGTTAAATGAATCCTTAACAAAGTTGCAATTGGTAGAAAAGCTTCGGTGTGTACTGTGTAAGCCATATAATCTTTTTAACAAGCTTTAAAAACTATTATTTATGTATTTTAATCTTGTGCGAGTTAAATTGTAGTGAATATTCAGATATATTCTTAAAATTTTACTTTTAATAAATTTCATAAATTAATTGTTCTTGGAATTCGCTGAGTTCACACAGAAAGGAAACAATTACCAAATCTTTTTTGTTGATTAAAAAAGTATTATCTTTAAATTAAAGTTCTTCTCTCATATATGTTAGCTGGACCGAATTCGCTGGCGTTTTTTAGGGAACCCTTGAGTACCCTGAAGCTAAAATAGGCTTAAGAATTGGAAATATCTTTTACAAAAATCGGAATTTTATTTTTCAAAATCGAAATTTTTTATGTTTCAAAATTCCACGGGCACCGACGGGCATTTCATCCAGTGATAATTATTACCTTTAAAGCATCCTTTATGTCCTCTAGCTTTAGCCTCCAGAACCTGGTTTATACTGTTGAGGCTGCAGGGAGAAAACTTCTTGTTATTCATCTTATCACCGGAGGTTGCTCTGTAGGTTTTATTTATTTTATACACTTTCCATTTTACAGTAATCCAAAGGTTATCAGCTCTCGGGTCAAAATATCCATGAGAATATTTCCAATTACTTCTTGAAAATTAAAGTTAAAAACAAGTTCTAAAATTTACATGTCTAGGGATAAAAAAAGTGTGTAAGTTAGTCAGGTAAAATTTAAAGGCCAAGGATTTAGTCGACACAGTCTTGAAAATTGATACCTTTTAATAGCTTGGAGTCGATCTAATACCTATTAATAGCTTGGAGTCGATCTAATACCTTTTAATAGCTTGGAGTCGATCTAATACCTTTTAATAGCTTGGAGTCGATCTAATACCTTTTAATAGCTTGGAGTCGATCTAATAAGTTAGAACCAAGGATAATAGAATATTTATTAGAGAGGAATTTACTAGAAAAAAGTGTAAAACGGCCATTTTGTTGTATTGTTTCCATACTGCAGGTGTACTTCACATATTTGTGCTATATAACCTTTTGGGCCCTGGCGCATCATTTTATAGAAAATCTAAAATTAATATTAAAAGAAAACCAAATTATGAAAAGGGCTGGTTTCATAATTGACCAATGATCATTTCACATTGACTCTATGCCTTTCACTTTACAAACCATGATTATAAATCAAATGATGTTTTTTATTCACCTAATTCATTTTAAAAAGTTAATTTTAAAGCTTTAAAAAAATCTAAAATGAAATGGATAGTATAGGGAACATAATGTATTAATGTACTCTACTGCATATAATTTGTGAACATTTATATGATTTGTACACTTTGAACTCCCTTTCAGGCTGAAAGGGACTGATGAAGGACTTCTTGTTTACATTGTTCCTTTTTAGGATTTTTTTCATTAAAAACAAAATATTGACCATACTCACAGATGGTCAAGAATTCTTTAAAACTATATTAAGGCCATGCTTGACTTAGTTTCGAATTATTGAAGTCACGTGAGTTTCTTTTCTTTTTGCAGTTCTTAAGATCCAATATTTTTTCAATGTGTGTTTCTTTGTGTCTATGTCCCAGAGATAAAGCATCTTTTATTTTTGATAAGCTGCACAATGTTAGTATAAAATAATATTCCTGGCAAACATTATATAGTTCCCATTCTCTCCGCCAGGGACACACTCAGATACGGTCTCAGGATCATGCTGAAACAAGACATTTTATAGTTCCCATTCTCTCTGCCAGGGAAACACTCAGATACGGTCTCAGAATCATGCTGAAACAAGACATTTTATAGTTCCCATTCTCTCCGCCAGGGAAACACTCAGATATCGTCTTAAGTACAAGCAAGAAGGTGTGTCTTTTTTCTATTTACTAGCAGCAGCGCTTGGCCCAGTAGTTGATAGAGTCGCAGAGATTTTTATCAACTAAATTGATTTTTTTGGAGAAGTATCGATTGACCCACCTGAACCAGACAAATATTGAATTGTCCCAGGTCAGCAGGCTTGTATATTACAATAAGTTCATGTGTTAAAAGTTTATTTAAAATAATGAATATGGTAGACTTACCGGAGACCCAAAATTGTGTCCCATTTCGTGGGCCATAGTAACATGGGACACAGCAGGTGGGACATGCTTTCCGTAATTCAGTAGGGTGATCACTCCGGTGTTTAAGCTCTTGAAACTTCCTCGATAATGCTAAAATAACAAAAAACAAATATAAATTCATACTAATGGTTTATTTTTCTGAGAAAAAAATATAGCTAAAGTTTATTTCAAAAAGCTGAGTAAGAAATAGCTACTGAACCCCGTGAAAGTTATCATAAAAAAATTTAATAAAAAGTCAATTAGAAATATCCAGAAAAATATATCTTCATCATCAAAAAGCAAAATCTCCCGTGCCATATTTTACATACTTAACGATTTATATAGGCAACAAAGTGCCCAGCAAGGTTCTTTTTTAAGGTTGGTTACTATCAATGCGCTCAAATGTCGTTTCCTTAGCATAGATAGATAGAATCTGCATATAATGTCACTCTCGCCTCTATAATCAGTGACGTCATATCCGGATTTTATCTATCTATGTTAAGGAGACGTACATTGGAGCGCATCGAGAGTATCCTCCTTATTAGATAACTTTGGTACCCAGCAATAACTCTTTTATTTTTATTTTCTATGTGCTGGGAAGAAAAGTGAGGGAAATTCTGAAAATAACTTCACACAATAAAATATTCTTTCACACACAAACATCATAAATTATGCATAAATAGTATAAATTGTCGAGTTCAAACATGAATTACGAGTCCATTAAGAAACTGACAATCACAATGTAAATTTTCTAAATAATAGAGCTTTTCGCTTATATATATTTATTTATATATATTATATGTTAGCTATATAGCTGGCCAAACGGCTGGACCGAACGGGCTAATTTTTTTTGAGGAAACCCATGGGTATTCGTAGGTTAATATAGGCAAAACAAATTCTAATTTTTTCTTCTTCAAAATCGATTTTTTTATAATTCGGTTTTTTAATTCCACGGTTAACGGCAGGCACAATGAGATTGCAGAAGATATTAAAAATTCCTGATACTTAGACTTAGAGCCTATAGTGCAGGTATTAAATAATCGTTTTTGTGATATATATTGTTTGAAAATATTGTACTTACTCCATCTTTGTTGAGTGCCGATATATGCAGCTTGAAAATAATTTAAAAATAAATATTAAAACATTTTGTAAAAATTTCAACAAACATTTATTTTTCAACAATAAAGATATTTTCTGAATTGTTTTTTAAATAAAATTTTTCAAATTGCTTTTGATTTTTTGTCTTTTATTCTTAAGCTCATTGTAAAAATCAAACTAAACTATCAAATTGAATTTTTTTTAAAGTGAAAATTATTGTTTTTTTTAATTGCTTCGTAGACATTTCTTTTAATTTTTTTTTAACGTAAAAACTAAATTTTAATTTTTTTGAATTTATTCATTTTACAAAATAAAATATTGTACATCGCAATTTTATTGAATCTCCTTTATAAATATACCGTCAATCATTTTAATGTTTATATTAGCTTGTTCCATAAAAAAAAAAAAAAATGGCTGCCACTTCTCTTGAAATCTGTTGCTAAGGCTAAACATTGTGAAATATTGAAAAAGAGACTATAATGGAATAAATCATTGATTGTGAAGTTGCATCGAATTTTCAGAAAAGTGTGTACAACCAGTACAACCAGGGGCGTATCAGGATTTTTTTCAGGGAGGGGGGGGGCTTAACTTTTTGCTTTCCAGGGGGGGTTGCAGGTTGCTCAGCACCCGTTGTTGGGATCTAAAGCTCGTAGAATTCACTGGTTCATGGGGACCACCCCCTTGAATACGCCCCTGTACAACCCCTTTAATTTACCCCGTTCTTCTCGCAGACCCCTCCAGCATTCTTGAGGTCTCCCGTCCAGGCCAGGCCGAGGGTGCCCCCCTCGAAGTCCCTGTATGTGAACATGTACGCCAGGCAGAAGGCGTCATAATCCTCCTCTGCAATTAATCACATTTTCAAATTTAAATAAAAAAAATGATTTTATAATCTTCATAGTTTTCCAACCTGATGGTGGAAACATATATAAATATCGTACATATGGTTGCAAAGATATAGATATAAGAAAACCGAGTTTTTGCAACAATCTTTGAGTTTCTAATCCAGAAATCTTTGCAACCCCATGTCTTAGAGACCTTAGATATCCCGAACTATGAATTCTGTTATATCATATATGCAAAACTTAAATCACCAGGTTGCAAAGATATAGGGATTAGAAAATCTAAGTTTGTGGCAAAGACTTAATTCCTTCGAATTCAAGAAAATGCGAAAGAATTTACAACCTAATGGTGGAAACATTTACAAATATCAAAGGTCTGCAAAGCAAAAGTATTTTCTTTGGTCGGATAGGAAACTGATTTGCTCATTTTACATAAAAATATAATTTCTAAAAACTTCAATTGATATCCAAGTTAAAGAACAAGAACCAAGGTTTTACGATCTGGGGTCAAATTTGTTATAAACAGCGACAAGTCAGCTAATAACATTGAACTCTTCAACTTGAACCATTGAACCAATGTACAAGAAAGGGGTTCAACTATGTCTACGTTGTTTTACTACTTCTCGCTATTTATTAAACCTGAGGCCGAATTTAAAGAATTTGAGCGGCGGCTAAAATTTAAGCCGCTGCTTAAATATGGTTGGTTCCACTTAAAATTGTATCAAATGTTTTAAGATCTAAGCCGGCGCTTAATTTAAACCGGGTTTTAGCGGATTTAAGCCGCGGCTCAAATTTTTTAAATTCGGCCTCTGGTCTCAAGTCTTTTCTGTATCCAAGGTTATAATGCAAGGAAAGTTATTTAAGAGGTGTACGCATCTTTTGTACTGCAGTGTACTGTCTCTATGCGGTAATGTAAACACAAGAAGGACGTCGAAGCCTGACATGGGATCCATCTTTCACATAAAAAATCAATGAAATATTCTGGTCATAGGAAACTATTATGTAATTATCAAAATTATAAAAATTTAATGCTTTTAACCTCCTCGGATACTTAACGAATAATGATGCATCGATTCTATTCTTGTACGCAGAGTATACGCATACTGTAATTAACTTTCCTTGCATTATAACCTTCTCTGTATCTAACCTATAGTTTAATGATAAATAAATTGATAAATGAATCAAAATAAATTGTCTCTTAAGAAAAAGTGAAATGCGCCTAATCGCGCGGAACGGAGGAGAGGTGAGGGGTTAAACGATTCATTACTCTTTCCATCCAATTCCCCCATTACAGTTTCAAAACTTGATTTTTTTTTCTGGAAAGTTTTCAAACTACGTGCACTGATTCTTCTTTAGGTGAATTTTCTATTTGTTTGTTTGAATTCAATAAACGCTAAAAGAGCAAAACAAATCTGGCCGGGGTAAAGGTGCCACGGCCGTTGAAAAAAATGTTTGCAAAAACTTTTATTTTAAATTTTAAATCCCGAAATGAGCACAGAAAAACTGTGTCTTATTTTTTGGTCTGCAATTTATAATTAAAAGATGTTCCTAATTTTATTATTGCAAAAAGTCAAAATAGTCTAAAAATCTACTCTATTTTTATAGGCAATTTAATTTAAATTGAAATAAATATTTACATTCTGTTTTCAGAATAAGTCGGCTCTTGTGTTAAATGTATTTTTATATTTGAAAGAACGATTTTTTATTGAAAAAATGAAGATATTATTTTAAACTTTAAAAATGAAAAATCCATATAGAATAGTATTTTGAGAATTTGAAGCTATATATGTAGTGCGTATATAATATATATAATAGTTTCAAAGTTTGATGAATAAGAGGAGAGATAGATAGATAGATAGATAGATGAAAAGTTATGAATAATGGATTCTATTTTGTACAGCTAGGGATACAAATTTTATTTTAAAATCAAAAGATTAAACTTTTATAAATTTTGGATTGAAGGGATTGTTTGCTTGATTAAGAAAACATTTATTTCTGTAAAATTTGTGTATTTGATAATGAGGTTGCGTAGATATAAGGTTTAGAAAAAACAGAATTTCGTTTGGAGCGTTAGGTTCTATCTATCTATGTATCTATCTATCTATATATGTATGTGTCTATCTATCTATCTATCTATCTATCTATTTATCTATCTATCTATCTATCTATCTATCTATCTATCTATCTATCTATCTATCTATCTATCTATCTATCTATCTATCTATCTATCTATCTATCTATCTATCTATCTATCTATCTATCTATCTATCTATCTATCTATCTATCTACATATCTATCTATCTATCTACCTATCTATTTACATATATATATCTATCTATCTATCTATCTATCTATCTATCTATCTATCTATCTATTTACCTGAGAATATTTCTAGAAACTTCTCGACACCGTAATTGCCTGGAAACCTATACTCTGGATCTTCTAGCGCATCCTCAGTGTGAACCTAGAAACCATCTCAAAATCAGCTGATTTTTCAAAACAAAGTTTGTTAATTGACCGAACAACAAGAAAAAAATATAAAAAATAATTTGGTTAAAACAGTTTGTTAATTTTTTAACTTAATGTCAAGTGGTATGGTACCCCTCCCTGGACAGAAATATTAATGAAATTATTCAAAAAGAAAATACGTCTACGACAGTAAGAATCAGAAAACTGTGGGAAAGGGAGACGACATAAAAGTAATAATTATGTGTATTTCATGTTTATTGCATTATTTAAAGCCATTAATTAAGTCTTAAAGTCGTCTTCCTATTCCAAAGTTGTCTTGGTTCTCATTGTAGCTAACTAATCAGAGGTTGGTAAAAACTCATTTTCACCCCTCAAAGAACGATTAAATTTTAGGGGAAAAATTAGCAACAAAAAAAAGATCGGGATCCGGATTAAAATCCGGATGGAATGGATCCAAAGCACTCATTGGAAATCTTTTTTTTATTTTGTCGAGAATTAAATTAAAATAAAATCTATATTTTAAAACGTTGCTCAGCTAAACCTGGAGCCTATCTATATACTTTAAATCAAAACTTTTATTCTTTCCAGAGATGTACATTCATCAAATTTAAATTGAGATAAAGGGAGGATTGTAGAAATGCATTTTTTGAAAAGTTTAATTCAGTTCGAATTAAATGCAGTTTATCCGCTAAGGAAAAGGACTTCAGTTCTGTGAAAATAGACACAAAAACAAAGTTAAGAACTTTTTAACAAAAATTACAAAATTTTTATTAGCAGATTTTTCGCCGATTTCGAGAATATATTTCCTTAACACGCTTGATCATGAAGCTGATGTTGTCAGGTTTACCGTCCATGTCAAAATCTAAAAATAAACTTAGTTACATATTTTCTTAACATTAATTTTTTTTATAAATTATTGGCTATGGATAATTTTTTTTAAAATAATTTTTTCATTATTCTTGTCAAAATGTTGTTCCTCCTTCATTCTCTATTTTCTTTTTTGTAAATTGCACCTTTTTCACGAGAATCAAATGTAGAGCGGCCATATTTAATTATTTTATTTTTTAATAAGATTTTCAGGATACAAAAAAAAGTTTTAAAAGTTCTACATTGTTCAAAGTCAAGTTTAAAAAACAATTGTTCAAATGTGTCGATTTAAGATTGAAGAGGAATTTAATTTTGTAAAAAAGTTATGGGATTAAAAATGTTAGTGAAATGTCATGAAAATAAAAATAAAAAAACAATCACACTTAAAACTTGAACAGTCGAAACACGTGTGTTTTCTTTAAATCTAAAGCTTAGCGTAATTTCTAATGTCATGCAGCTGATTTATTTTAATTTTAATATTGGTCTCAGCTGTCTAAATTAAAGGGAATGTTTGCTAAAAATGAAAGAAGGAAAGAATGAACTTTGAGTTTGATATCTCTGCAATATGTTTTTTTTCGATCACTTCCATTAAAGAGATTTTTCAGAACACTCCCATTAAAGAGTTTTTTTCCGAACACTTCCATTAGAGAGTTTTTTTCCGCACACTTCCATTAAAGAGATTTTTTCAGAACACTTCCATTAAAGAGATTTTTTCCGAACACTTCCATTAAAGAGATTTTTTCAGAACACTTCCATTAGAGAGTTTTTTTTCCGAACACTTCCATTAAAGAGAAGTGGTTAATTTAATCTAAGTACAGTGGTTGTCGTTTTTATCAATAAATTAAAGACGACTCATCTATGTATGTTTTGGTTTCTATAAACAAGTTTTTTTCAAATTTTAAGTTTACAAGTGAACAAAAAAGATAAGCTATTAATTGACAGCTTCTATTTGTTCCTATGTCTATATGTGTAACATATGCTGTTTAAAAGATCGGTTGAAAATCAAAATCGAAATCGAAAGTAGTCTTCATTGTATTGATACATTCAACGACCACTGCAGTTCAACTAATATTCAAAAAATCTGGTCCTGCAGTGAGAAAAGCGTATTTCAAAATTACGTTAGCAACTGATTTCAGTTTAAAAGTTTATTCCAAATAAAACTTTATTAATATTCTGAATAAATAGATGTTAGAATTTGACAACAAACTTGCAAGATTGAACAATTAAACAATGACTTTGCAAAACATAAAATAAAAACTCTGCCAAGCCTTTGTTTGTTTTTTTAAAACTGCTCAGTTTGAGAATAATAAAAGCTAGATATCCCCGACAGTAAAATATTAAATGTTAGATGCTTAGAGCATAAAGGGAGAGGAAACCAGAATATCATTTGTCTTTTAAAGGATTGTTCAGTAATTTTGATCAAATATCCTAAAGAGGAAAAACTCTCCTAAAGATCAAAGATGTCCCCTAAAGGACAAAATCAAATGATTATTTTTGTAAATGAATATTTAAATGGCCGGCTCTTTCATAGTATTTTTCTTGAGATCAATTGATAAATATATACGATAAATTAATATCAAATGGGATCTTCTTTTTGATTAGCATATTTGGATCTCTTTTTCAAAATCAGTCAAAAAATAGCGTAAAAATTATACTTAAATATTTAACATAAATAGTACAATAAATAAACAGTCAAATAATTAAATAGTCCAATAAATAAATAGTTCCATAAATAAATAGTCCAATAAATAAACAGTCCAATAAATAAATAGTCTAATAAATAAATAGTCCAATAAATAAATAGTCCAATAAATAAATAGTCCAATAAATAAATAGTCCAATAAAGAAATAGTCCAATAAAGAAATAGTCCAATAAAGAAATAGTCCAATAAATAAATAGTCCAATAAAAATAGCAAAAAAAAAAAAAAATTGCAAACACGAAAAGTTTACATCTAAAGGGTGAAATATGGTTCTAAAGTAAAGAAAAGCTGGACTTTAAATCACCGTGCAATGGGCATAGTTGTAAAATATTATTACACTATTACACATATTAAATTGTATTTTAGGGAAAAACATTTCCAAACCCCGCTCAGATTAACAATCTGGATCAAATAGCTGCATATTTGATATTTCTGGCGCCAAGATATCAAATTAAAAATATTATGAAAATAGAAAATTGCCAAAAAGACAGCTTTAGCTTTGGGAAATATGTGGAATATTTGGAAGGAATATGTGGAATATTTGGATGGAATATGTGGAATATTTGGAAGGAATATGTGGAATATTTGGATGGAATATGTGTCAAAATGCATATTTCCTTTGTCTACAAGGGATGAAAATGCGTAGATTTACAAACAAAAGAGGATCAGAAAACAGATATTTGATCAGTGTAACATTTAATCCCTTGATATCGTTACAATCCCAGACATAAATCCTAGGGAAATCAAGATCAATCGTTGCCCCCCCCATCTTTGAGTGTTAATGCAAGACTTCACTTTCATTCCCAGTACCAGTTCATAATTCACCCAAACCTCTCTTCTTATGTATAATATCTATCTCTCAAGGTCTTGAATAAGTGGGTGGTTTAACATGACAC